AGCACCTGGGAGAAGCTGAAGCAGAAAGATTTTAAGCTTGAGGCTGGTATAGGATACATAACAAGACCTTGTCTACAAATAAGTAAATGAGAGGCGGTAACATTTTTAAAGTGTGTGCTTTTCTTTATGTGTCTATGCAGCCTTAATCAGCAGAGTCCTAGCCCTGACAGATCACACAGGACCTGACTGTCGGTACCTGAACTTTACTGAGGGCGAAGAGATATCTGTTTATGTTAAGCTTGCAGGAGAGAGAGAAGATCTGTGGGCAGGCAGCGTAAGTATCTAGTTTTAAGAACTGAATGCGGAATAAATAGCCAACTTGCACAAGGATACTCCCTGTTAGTCTATAAAGGAACTCTTATCACTAGATAAATATTAAAACCCTTATCATACTTAAGCAAACAAACAAACAAAATATGATTACATGCATGCCTTTAATCCAAGTACTTGGTACAAAGCCAGCCTGATCAACAGAGAAAGCTCCAGACAAGCCAGGGCTCAAAAAAAAAAAAAAAAAAAAAAATTATCTTTACATAACATAGATTGTTTTAAGCCTAGAATTCATATTTATTTAGAAAGCCTTTAGGAGTACTAACAGATATAATGGCCAGCACAACCATCTCTCTGTGCTGTCAGTGACCAAGTTTGAGAAAGACTGAGACGTTAATTGATCAGATTTCAAAGCATGTCTATCTGAAGAGCGAGGACTGACGTGTGTTGGAGAGGTCAACAGAAAGGGTGATACTCTAGGGAAGAAAGGTATATATATATTTTATGGACAATAAAAGAGTAACAGCGAGACCTTTTATTTTGCCAAACTAAAAGCAGCCCAAACTATCTCTAAGGATAATAATGAATGTTTTTTTTTTTTTTTTTTTTTTTTTTTGGTTTATCGAGACAGGGTTTCTCTGTGGCTTTGGAGCCTGTCCTGTAACTAGCTCTTGTAGTCCAGGCTGGTCTCGAACTCACAGATATCCGCCTGCCTCTGCCTCCCAAGTGCTGGGATTAAAGGCGTGCGCCACCACCGCCCAGCTAATAATGAATGTCTTTGATTGAAAAGATTTATGTCTCTGCTATGTATTATGTTTTTTGTAATAACGGCATGCTAGGATAGATGAGTCTTCTTCCAAGCTCACCAGACATGACCAATCTGGTAGAGTCCCACAGGGCTCCCATATTCTGTATATACCAGGTTCTTCCCCAGTGCAGTCTTTGGGCTCCCTGTCTGAATGGCCAGGCCGTCCATAAACTCCCAATGTAGCTGAGCCTGAATGCCAGGTCCTCCCGAGTGTCGATGCTGCTGGTGTGCAACACCATATCAGTCTGAAGGCACAGACTGTATCGGAAACTTTCCTCTTCCCACCAGGGGATGTTTAACCAAACCTTACCTTTGCCACTGGCCAGATTTGCCCTGCTCTGCAGCTACTGGGACTCTTGACTGCTTAGAATGGCTTTAAAATACCCGTTTGTGTATTTTGAATGCATCACAGAAATCTGATGCAGGTATAAGAAAATGACATAGTATAAGTCATAAGAGGCCAAGAGAACAATCTTTTTTGTTTATTTACTAAGTATGAAAATGATAATTCTACATAAAACAGCGTTTAATGGATAAAAGTCCGAGTGAAGTCTCAGTTGCTTCAGTTTGGTACATTAAATGTTTAGTCTAATTGCTTCTCTGCGTTTTTGCTAACACGAGTAGAGATGGAAGTCATGCTTACAACCATTAAGGACTCATAGTGTGGACTCCTAGGCCATTTCCAAACATTCTATGTACCATGGAATACCTATTGCTCTTACTATGTATTGTAACTAACAAGAGCTAGCAAAATCATGTTTAATGTGTGATGGTGTTAGATCAATCAGAAGACAGAAAAATATCTGTGAAACCTTAACAGGCGTAAGAAAAGCCACGAGTAGTTGAGTGGTGACTTCACTCTTGGGGGGACATCCTACATGTGCTTGAACTGGGTCAAAAGACTCTGTTACCAGGCTAGCCCAGAAAAGTCGAAAGGAGCCAAAAGGAACGGCATCCTCCCTTGGGGACACACAGACCTTAGCTACCTTGAGAGATACATCTGGGAGTTTAAATCCTTTTTTGAACATGACACACTGAAAACTCCAACTTTGTCACATCTTCCAGAGTCTTCCTTAGCTGTCACCTGAATTGTGACTTTTTGATATATCTCAGATAAAAAAGTGTAAATCTGCAGACTCTGAGAGAAGAAGGTCCTTAGGAAATAAGGGACAGGCTGGGCTGGAACAATGGCCAGCGGTCAAGAGCACTTGCTATACTTCCAGAGGACACGGGTTTGGTTCCCAGTATCCACATGGCAGCTCACTACTGTCTAGAACTCCGGTTCTGGGGGATCTGATGGCCTCTTCTGATTCCCACAGGCACTCCAAGCAAAACATCCATACATATAAAATAAAAATATATAAATCTTAAAGATAAAAGAATAGAGAGAGAGCAAGAATATTAAGAGTATATAGTCCATTTTCGACAGGAACATTTTCAGTGTGGGTCATTGTGCCCTTAAGTTTATATTATTCTGTCCAATAGCAAAAAGCTAAGGCCTCACCCGTGTTCTCTTTGTTGTTATTGCTTGTTTGGCGCTGAGCCTTGAATCCAGGGCTCTGTGCATGCTGAGAAAGTACTCCTCTACCTCGTTACACCCCAGTCCCCACCCGTGATTTTAGATGGCATTTGAGAGCCAATTGATGATTTGTGATTTCACGTAGCTAGAAGTCAAGGTCACAAGGAGAACTGAGGCTCAGTAGTCATGACGACTGCTTCAATCACTTCTCCTTTATAACTTTGCTCTCCATTTTGATAGAAAGGAAAGGACTTTGGATTTTTCCCCAGAGATGCAGTCCAGATTGAAGAGGTGTTCATATCCGAAGAAGTCGAGATGCCAACTAAGGTGAGTAAGCTCATTCTCAGCTATTAACTGATTCAAAAGTTTCTCGGCAAAATGGCTTCCTTGGAATAAATGTCATTGGTTGTGTGCCTTCTTCAGTGACTGTAAATAAGGGTTATTAAGAACTTGTTCTTGGCCAGGTGATGGTGGTGCACGCCCTTAATCCCAGCACTTGGGAGGCAGAGGCAGGCGGAGCTCTGTGAGTTCCAAGGCCAGCTAGTTCCAGAATAGGCCTCAAAGCCACAGAGAAACCCTGTCTCGAAAAAACCAAATAATACTAATACTACTAATAATAAAATAAAGAAATAAAAAAGAACTTGTTCTTGGCATGGTTTGGGTATGTGAATACACTTAGATAAAACAGCACAGTTAAAGACTTTGCTTTCTGAGCAATTAACAGGCAATAGAATGTGGTGGTTCGAAAAGTGAATTCTGGAGAGACACAACGTATTCTAAATAAAATATGTAATTAAAAAACAAAAGGAATCACAAACTGATATTTCAATACATGGATTTGACTTGCCAGTTTAACTCAGATTCTAGGTTTTACCACAAGTAAGGACATGGCGAAATAAGACTGTTTGGGAGCTGGAGAGATGGCTCAGTGGTTAAGAGCATTGCCTGCTCTTCTGGAGGTCCTGAGTTCAATTCCCAGCAACCACATGGTGGCTCACAACCATCTGTAATGAGATCTGGTGTCCCCTTCTGGCCTGCAGGCAGATGTACAGGCAGAACACAGTATACATAGTAAATAAATAAAAAAAAAAGAAAGAAAAGAAATAAGACTGTTTGCTTCCACACTGTCTTTTGTTGGCACTGGGATTAACTGTCCACTTCCTGTCGGATACTTGGTCCTGTCACTTCTATCTCTGCTGTATTGTAGCACATTCTCTTCTCTGTATGTCCACTCTGTATGTCCAAGGCATCGTCATCTCTCTTTTTCACAATTTTATTTTATTATTATTGGTTTTTTGTTTGTTTGTTTTGTTTTTCGAGACAGGGTTTCTCTGTAGCTTTGGAGCCTGTCCTGGAACTAGCTCTTGTAGACCAGGCTGGCCTCGAACTCCCAGAGATCCGCCTGCCTCTGCCTCCCAAGTGCTGGGATTAAAGGCGTGCGCCGTCACCGCCCGGCATTATTATTGTGCTTAGTGTGCATAATAAGGGGAAGAGTCATTGCCACGGAGCACCTGTGGATGTCTGAGGACAACTTTGAGGAGTAAGTTCTCACCTTCGGTGCTTAAATGGACTCCAGGGATGGGACTGACATCCTCAGGCTGCACAGTAATCGCCTTTATTCACTGAACCATTTCCCTGGCCAGGCATCATCACTTCTTGACCCGAATACAGTAGCCTTCTAACTGCTTGACTTTATTTTGCTCCTTTCCAGTTCATTCTTCAAAAAGCAATGGATCTTGTGAAAACAAAAGCAAATAATCAGGTCATATCATTCCTCTCCTTAAATACCTTCCATGGCTTTTCACTGGCCCTGGCATACAGCTCAGACTCCATCCCTGGACTCACAGATCCTGATTGTGCCCTGTTTCTGTCTTATGCCCCCCTCCTCCCATAAGCCACACATACCCCTGGATAGACTGGCTTTGGGGTTGTTCTCAGAATGTGCCAACTCTTTCTTAGCCTAGACACTTGAAAGAACACACCACACTGTTTTCTTCTAGCTGGTTTCTTCATACTCTGTAGGTGCCGGCTTAAATCTTTAGTGCTTCTCAAGAAACTTTTGGAGTATTTTCCTAGACTTCAGTGATGTGGGATTCCTCTCTGTATGCTGTGAATATGCTTTATTACCATTGGTTAGTAAAGAAGCTACTTTACTCTGCAGGGCAGAATAAATGCAGGAATAAATAAAAACAGAAATATATAGAGAGAATAGGTGGAGTCCAAGAGACACCATGTAACTGCCAAAGGAGAAAGAAACCCCAGAACCTTACCGGTAAACCATAAGCCTCGTGGTAAAATGCAGAATAATAGAAATGGGTTAATGTAAGATGTAAGAGTTAGTTAACCAAAGGCCTGGGCTAATAGGCCAAGCAGAATATAGTTTCTGTGTGATTATTTTGGGTCTGGGCATCCCAAGAAAGAAACAAGCAGCCTCCGCTTACATTCTAGTGATGCTAAGGCAGTGAATTTGTCTAAACTCAGAAGATTCGGTGCAGTCATTATGTGCATTTTTTTGCGAGACAATTATCGCTCTATATAGATGGGGGATGTTATAATTAGTGTGCAATTAAAAAAGTGGAGCCAGTAATAAGATGACTGAGCCAGTGAAGAAGCTTTGCCACAAAGCCTGATGACCTGAGTTGATCCCTGGGACCCATGTGAAAGTGGATGGAGACAATCAAATTTGAGCTCTACAAATCTGTCCTTTTACCTCTGCATGGACATCATGGTATACTTGTGCTCAACGTTAGTCATATTTGTGTGTGTGTGTGTGTGTGTTTGTGTGCATGTGTGTGTCCTTGTGCCACAGTCCATGTGTGGAGGTTAGAGGTCAACTTGCTGGAGTTGGTTCTGTCCTTCTACTATGTCGGTTTGACGATCAGGTCCTTAGGCTTGGTGGTAAGCACCTTTACCTGCTGAACAACCCAAATGTGAGAGCTGATGGTAGCAGTAAAGAGAGTGAGCGAGCAAAGGCCTGTCAGAGCAGGGGCTGAGCCCGCCCCTGATAAAGAAGCACTCCTGGGATGATGTGCCTACTCCAGTGACAATGATAAAAGATTTTACCCATTCACATTGCCTTCATGGCCTAATCACTGACGACAAGGGGCCATCTCTTATGACGATTGCATTAAGTTTCCTGTATATGCTTTGGGGGAAACACATTTAAGTTATATAGCCCGTGCCCTGCAATCACTGCACAAATGTGTGCATTCACTTAGCACACTCTCAGGAGGCGCCGGATTTTGTAGCTACTCCACGTGTATGCCTTCTCATCAGAAATTATATACTCAAAGCATTAATAATCTATGCTTTTCAGCTGTTTGGTAACAAATAAAGCATCCTAGAGTTTTCATTTAAGTTTATATCATTAGTCCTTAGAAATCAGTACATGTATTTGAGATTCAGAGACCTGATTTTAGGTTTTACTCTGGGGTTAAGGTAGTTGTATATTTTTTGGGAAAATCATAGTCATCCTTTTACTTTATTTTACTTTTGAAGTAGTTTTTTTAAACAAAACATTTATTTTTTATTTGTTTGCCTGTGTGAGTGTATGCCACATGTATACAGATGCCCAGGAAGGCAAGAAGAGGGTATTAGATCCCCTGAACTGGCAGGGAATGAGAGTCACCTGATGTAGGTGCTGGAAACTGAGCTCGGGTCCTCTGTAGAGCAATAAGTGCTCTTGTATGATTTTTGTTTTGGTTTGTTTTGCTTTTTCTTTCAAGGTAGGGTTTCTCTGTGTAGCTCTGGCTATCCTGGAAACCCCTCTGCAGACCAGGCTGGCCTCAGTCTTAGAGATCTGCCTGTCTCTGCCGCCTCAGTGCTGGGATTATAGGTGTGAGACAACACACCTGGCTACAGTCTGCTATCTCAAAATGTTTAGGGAGAGGTATTTATGACTTTTTTTTCTTTTAGGAATCTGACTTTCTTTGTCTTCTTGGGGAAGGCTACATATTTGGAAGGGAGCACAGTGAGTTGCACAGCGATGGTGATGGAAATATGTACCCATACGAAGAATATGAAGACCAAAACTATAATATATATGAAAGTGATTTTCAGCCAGAACTTGACTTTTATGCAGCTTCTGAAGGGACTTTGTTTGAAGACCAAATTTCAGCATCAGAAACCCGTGAAGAGTTCAAGATTTCCAATGAGCTTAAGGACTTGGAAGAGGCTGGAAGTGCGGGCAGTGGGGAGCAGGGTTACACTTCCGGCATGGACCATGACTTGCCTGAAATGCAAGGACAGTTTGGACTGGGGAGAGAAGAAGCTCAAGAGCAGACTTTTAAAGCAGATTCTGAACCCACCCAAGAAAGCTCATCTCAAACTGGAGAATTAACAGTGGAGGAGGAGAATGACCCAGAGAAACTACACAATGGAGAACCCCAAGTGGAGCCTGAGCAAGATCCAGAAGCCCCGTTTGATTCAGAGACACCAGAATTCAGTCCAGTCCCAGAGGAGCAGTATGAGCTAGTGTCTGAGTCAGAGAAAATCCTCAACCCTCAAGCGACAAGCTGGTTTGGTGGTGGGTTTACAAGTTATTTAGGTTTTGGAGAGGAGGGCACAGGACTTGAGTTATTGTCCAAAGAACACAACCCGCCATTACAAGATGTTCCCGATTCTATTTCAGCTGATGAAGAAGCCCCAGCTCCATGTTTTGGAGAGGAGGACACAGGACTTGAGTTATTGTCCAAAGAACACAACCCACCATTACAAGATGTTCCCGATTCTGTTTCAGCTGATGAAGAAGCCTCAGCTCCACACAGAGAAGTGTCAGCAGACAAGGAAGATAAGGTCATCAATGACAGCTCAGTTCCCAGTCCAAATTGGTTTGACTTTGGTTTTGGTATTCTCAGCTTTGCATATGCCAATGAAGACAAAACTATTTCAGACGATGGGAAACGGGAAGATGGTGAGGCTGAGAACCACAAACATCCTATAGCAAATGATTTTGACCCCGGAAAGGAACAAGAAAGCAGAATGATGACTGTTGTGGAAACAGAAGATCAGACAGGTAAGGAAAGCGCCTTGGCGAAGACAGATGGTTCCGATTCTATGCAGTATCTGAAGAAGTTCTTCTATAACCCTTGGAGCTTCCAGAGCCTGCCAGAGGACACAGAATCACCATTCTCCACACAGAAGCTGGATCAAGAGAATATCGCTGAAAGTGACAAAACTGAAAAGCTCTCCACTGAAAATTCTGCTGCTGAGAGCGTGGAAGAGCCCATGACGCTGGAGGGCACATACAGCCTGTCAGGTTGGTGTGAAAAGATTTATATTTGCTAAGATGATTTTTAAAAGACTTTTATTTATTTATTATGTCAGTGTTCTGCCTGCATGTATGCCCGCAGGCCAGAAGAAGGCACCAGATCTCACTACGGATGCTCGTGAGCCACCATGTGGTTGCTGGGAATTGAACTCAGGACCTCTGGAAGAGCAGTCAGTGCTCTTAACCGCTGAGGCATCTCTCCAGCCCCAAATGGTTAATTTTCATAAGTACCAATCAGATAAAAAGGTTCATGTTTGCCCTGTGGAGATGGCTCAGTGGGCTAAACACCTGTTGCATAAGCGTGAGGATGAATTTGGATTTCTCCCCAAACATGAAGAGCAGGGCAGGCATGGTGGCTGCTTGTATGCTCAGCACCCAGAAGGCAGAGGCAGAGGGTTGCGGGGGCAAGTTGATGAGCTAGACTAGCTGGGACCGGGGAGTTCCATTCAGTGAGAGACCTGCTTCAGTAAATAACGTACAGAGAAACTGAGGCAGATGAAAGATGTCCACTCAGGCCTCCACCTGCACACACTCACGCATACCCAAATACATACACATTCATTCATTTTTCTCTCATACATTGCATTCTAGCTATAGTTTCCCCTCCCTTCATTCCAGTTTCCCCCTCTTCCTCCCCCTCCCACAGATCCACTCCTCCTCCATTTCCCTTAAAAAAAAAAAAAACATAAGAGCAGGCTTCTCAGGGATGTCAACTGAACATGGCATAACAAGTTACAATAAGACTACATACAAACCCTCCTATCAAGACTGAATGAAGTGACCCAGTAATGGGAAAGGGGTCCCAAATGCAGGCAAATGACTCAGAGACACCCCCATACACACTCCTAACTGTTGGGAGTCCCACGAGAACACCATCCTATACAGTCATGACGTACATCCAGAGGACCTAGGTCAGACCCATGCAGGGTCCGTGATTGTTGCTTCAGTCTCTGTGAGCCCCTATGAGCCCTGTGTAGTTTGTTCTGTGGGCCACATACACATTTTATTTTAAGATGCTCCCTCAACTATGTAGTATGGTATGGTATATGCTAATGGAGTGGAATGGATGTGGGATCAAAGGGACAACCATGGACAAAATTTGAATTTAATGAATCCCCGAAGGGACATAAAGAACAGCAATGTGCGACATTTGATCGGCACCTTATCATTTTCAAACTTCTTCCTAAATAACCTAGTGTTGCTGCCGTTTTTCTGTGTAAATGTTTGATCTCCAGGTCTCAGAAGGTACAAGCAAAGTATTGACTCTTGCAAAAGGCCCCTGACCTCCACACACATGCTGTGGCACCCATACATCCACACACACATGCACACCATAAAAATCTTGAGTGATTGTGGATTTTATATATATA